AACAAATAAATCAACAATATTCTGTAAGAGTCCAGCATTACCATTCTAATAACAATTTTCTGATTCAACTTATCATAGAAACTAAACAGCCTGGTTTTTAACAAGTAATATCCTGATAGATCAAACAGACGATCACTTCTAGCAAATCAACTTGAAAAGATTCTCTCAATCAACTCTCTTTAGCTGCTAATCAACTGAATCTTCACAAAAAAAAAAATACGATAGAATAACAGTTGATCAGCTTTAGTAAAAATATAAAAACAGGAAGAAAATCAATAGAATTGAAACATGTATCATCAGTCAAACTCGACATTTTAAAAGAATCGCTGAATAAAAGATCTGCAGGAAACCATGAAACATTCTTTACAACCTAAAAACAGAATGTCGTAAAAATAAGCCTGACAATCTATAACTTGGAAGTATCTGTTCTGTTCTAGAGTTAGCAAATACAGCTGTGACAAGCTTACAAAGTTTAATAACTGTTTAAAGCTTAGAATTAAAATTGCTTTAAAGCTTACAATTAACACTGTTTTAAAGCTTAGAATTAACACTGTTTTAAAGCTTACAATTAACACTGTTTTAAAGCTTACAATTAACACTGTTTTAAAGCTTACAATTAACACTGTTTTAAAGCTTGGAATTAACACTGTTTTAAAGCTTACAATTAACACTGTTTTAAAGCTTACAATTAACACTGTTTTAAAGCTTACAATTAACACTGTTTTAAAGCTTACAATTAACACTGTTTTAAAGCTTACAATTAACACTGTTATAAAGCTTACAATTAACACTGTTTTAATGCTTACAATTAACACTGTTCAAAGCTTAGAATTAACATGGTTCTAAAGCTTAGAATTAACACTGTTTTAAAGCTTAGAATTAACACTGTTTTAAAGCTTAGAATTAACATGGTTCTAAAGCTTACAATTAACACTGTTTTAAAGCTTACAATTAACACTGTTTTAAAGCTTAGAATTAACACTGTTTTAAAGCTTAGAATTAACACTGTTTTAAAGCTTAGAATTAACACTGTTTTAAAGCTAAGAATTAACACTGTTTTAAAGCTAAGAATTAACACTGTTTGAAAAGCTTAGAATTAACACTGTTTTAAAGCTTAGAATTAACACTGTTTTAAAGCTAAGAATTAACACTGTTTTAAAGCTTACAATTAACACTGTTTTAAAGCTTACAATTAACACTGTTTTTAAGCTTACAATTAACACTGTTCTAAAGCTTACAATTAA